AATGTGAGTTATTTTGCTGTAGTTTTAAAAATAATGTATGTTATTTTGCAGTAGTTCCAGAAATTAGGTGAGTTATTTCGTAGTAATTCCAGAAATAATGTAGATTAATTTGGCTCAATTTCAAAAATAATATAAATTATTTTGGTTTAGTTCTCAGAAGTTCTATAAATAATACAAGATTACTCCACCAAATAACAAAAACGAATAGAATATATAATCATACTTTTGGACTTATGTTCACCACAAATACTTTATAAAGATTCATTTTTAATTTTAACGTTTTTCATTTTTTATTTTAAGTTGGAGCAAAGACATGAGAACCCCACTTGAAATGTTGACTTCAAATTCTAGTAGTAGTGTCTTTGACAGCATGATGACGATGACGACCGTAAATTATGACATTTTCGGCTCTCCTGCTCTCTCTCTGTCTTCGACAGCATGATGACGATGACGACCGTAAATTATGACATTTTCGGCTCTCCTGCTCTCTCTCTCTCTCTCTCTCTCTCTCTCTCTCTCTCTCTCTCTCTCTCTCTCTCTCTCTCTCTCTCTCTCTCTCTCTCTCTCTCTCTCTCTCTCTCTCTCTCTCTCTCTCTCTCTCTCTCTCTCTCTCAAAATTTAAGTAAAATGCATATCACACATTCGTTAGTCAAAACCTTAATTTGATCATTAAATGATAACGTGATAAATACAAAATTTACATGTGTTTATGATGTGGCAAGAAAAATTAATTAAATATTAAAAAACCATTTTAAAAATAAAACTAAATTAAAAGTTATAAGGGACCGACCCACCCACCTTCTTCTCCAAGGAGAGAGATGACGTCCATCAAACTTTCATTGCAATTTCAGAAATTGTAGCGGGCAGCGAGGGTTCTATGTCATCTTTTCTTGGTCTCTCTCTCCGCGGGGAGCGCATCCTCTATCTCATCTTCTCTCGATCTCTCTCTCCGGGGGAAGCACATCCTCTATCTCATCTTCTCTTGATCTCTCTCTTCGCTGAGACCGCGGCTTCAAGTCCACCATGTGTAACCATGAAATGTAAAGCTTAACAAAAAAATCAACTTTTGTCATTTTTATATGAATGGAAGAAAAAAAAAAAAAAAAAAAAAAACCTTTTGTCCTTTTTATATGAATGGAGGAAATGCAGCAGAGGTAGTAGGGAGGAACGACATGTTGTGTTGCTGTCAGGAGCAAAATTGAAAACTCAATTTTTGAACCATTTTAATTAGATTGGTTTTGAGTTGGGATTTATCCTAATCATTAGATAAAGTTAGCACAAGTTTTTTTATTTATTAAAATTAAAAGTTCTGAAATATTTTTCATTAGTTTTTCTTATATTTTATGAAATGGGAATCCAATTGCTTTAGGTATGATGTTCGAGTCTCAAATGTCCTTCTTGGTGCAGATACGTGGAATGGATTTGACATGGGAGAGGGGCAGTCAACCAAATTATAAGACATAGGAGATCCTTATCGAAGAAAGGTTGACAAGCGAGAACATATACAAGTCCATTGAAGCGATGAAAAATGGGTTTAGTATGTCACAAGATTGTCATTGGAGACCATCGGATAACACTGTAATGGCCTTTGCTAATTATTTTGAAAAACATGGGAACATTGAGGATGCCAATTGGTATATCAGACTGGACACTGAAATAAATTTGTTTTATGTTGTCGGAGTCAACTAATAAAAATTCATATCAATGTATAACTGTTTTTAAAATTGTCCACTAAAAAATTATGCAATGAAAGAAATATCTTCAGATTGTACACTAAAAGAAGTCATTTGCATATAAATCTATAATAAAAATACATGTAAATCTGTAAAAATTCTTAAAAAATTGTAAAACTTTCACTTAAAAATAACCTATCCAATCATCTAAAGTCCAAATTGAGGAAAAGTGGTAGAAAGTAGCCAGGTGATAGAGGATCTCACCACTAGTCCTACTAGCCACAAAACCTTTTGTGGCCTATCCAGAATAGGTAATTGTGACATCCCACATCGTTCAGGGGAGTGATCCTTATATGTATATTCACATCTCTACCTAGCACGAGGCCTTTTGGGAGCTCACTGGCTTCGGGTTCCGTAGGAACTCCGAAGTTAAGCGAGAAGGGGGCTAGAGCAATCCCATGATGGGTGACCCACTGGGAAGTTGCTCGTGAGTTCCCAAAAACAAAACCGTGAGGGAATGGTAAGCCCAAAACGGACAATATCGTGCTACGGTGGTGGAGCGGGCCTGGGAAGTGATCCGTCTCGGGCCGGGATGTGACGATTTGGTATCAGAGCCTAACCCTGGCCGCGTGTGTGCCGACAAGGACGTCGGGCCCCTAAGGGGGGTGGATTGTGACATCCCACATCGCCCAGGGGAGTGATCCTTATATGTATATTCACATCTCTACCTAGCATGAGGCATTTTGAGAGCTCATTGGCTTCGGGTTCCGTAGGAACTCCGAAGTTAAGCGAGAAGGGAGCTAGAGCAATCACATGATGGGTGACCCACTGGGAAGTTGCTCGTGAGTTCTCAAAAACAAAACCGTGAGGGAATAGGAAGCCCAAAGCGGACAATATCGTGCTACGGTGGTGGAGTCGGGCCTGGGAAGTGATCCCGCCCAGGCCGGGATGTGACATAATACTACGGAAATTAAATTTATCAATAAAATTTTGAAAAATAAATGACATAGAAATTAATAATTAGATTATTACTTAAGCGTTGATAAACGTGCTAATTCCTATTGATGAAATATTATTTAGTTTGCAAATTTTATTTATAAATTTGATCTCTCTAGCATTATCCATCTCAGAATTTGACATATGTGTACCATTAACACCACTTCTAAACACGGTTAACTCTCTGAAAAGGATTAAAAAAAAACAAAAATAAAACCTGAAACTCAAAAACCCAACTGTACCCCCTCCCGCTCAACGTCGACCACCACAAACGCAGAAAAATCCCATAAACACGGCAAGCACAAAAATCTTGAAAAAAAAAAAAGAAAAAAAAGAAGAATCCCATAAACAGATGTACTGCAATCGTAAAAGCATCCACACAATAATAAAAGAAAAAGAAATTTACGATCACGAATCTCACTATAAGGTTGTCGTTGGGGTTCAAGGATCTGGATCTGGATATGTCAGGATGACGAGATTCTCAGTGAGGAGAAAAGGGACGGTTGTGGGCATGTGGGAGGGGGAACGTTCGGGCTTCTGAGTTTCACGTTTTAACTTTCATTTTTAATCTTTTTCAAAGAGTTAACAATGTTTAAAAGTTGAGTTAGCGGTGGACATGCGTTAAATTCTGAGACAAACCAAAAAATGTCACATATGATTTTCGATGTAGAAGATTTGAACCCTATCCAACAAATTCTAATTTTCGGTGCATGCAACGATATGTTTTTTTTTTTCTGCACAAATGATATTATTTATATTAAAATAAAAAAATGAGATTAGTTTCACAATTAATTAGATCACACATATCTAAGTTGTTATTCAAACTATTCAACACTTTTGTGTAGTTTAAAGGAGAATCGTTGGATTTCGATGTAAAGGGTAAAACCAACTTTTGACGACTTTTCTTGCGGTACAACTCACCTTGGATTTGAGTCCATACAGAAACACCTTTTTTAATTTTTCGGGAAAAGTGAATTAAATTGTACAAAGTGGTTAAGTATTACGTAAGCGCCTGGGATTATTCATCAACAAGATAGCCAACGACCACAACAGTCAGTTTTGCAGTTTCTGCGATGAAGGCTCCAACGCTCATTGAATTTCAATTTTCAACTGCATCAGCTTTAGCTTTCAAACGAAAATGAGTTGGAACGAGTCTATCGTCGCTACGGTGTTCTTGTTTAGCAAATGTTACTATATATTTTTTTTCTCACGACATTATATTATTAAATTAAAACACTATATAAAAATAAATTAATTACATGCAAGTTGCTTTCATTTAAAATGCATGATAAACACAAAAATACATAATATATATGGGCCACTTTGTCCCATTTTCAATGTCGTTTGAAACCTCTACAGTATAATACAAAGTGTAGTATAATGATTTCATACACTTCCACCTTATGCAAGCTCCTCTATCTTTTCAGATAAGCGTGTGTTTGATGAGACATGCTTTTTTTTTATTTTTGAACAAACGATTGATGACACGTGTTGATTCTTTCATCTTTGTGAAAAGGTAATATGGAGAACGATTGCTATTAGGATTAGTGTTTAGAGAAACTAATAATACATGATGACACGTGTTGATTCTTTCATCTTTGTGAAAAAGTAATATGGAGACCGATTGCTATTAGGATTAGTGTTTAGAGAAACTAATAATACATGTTAGGTTTAAGGTCAATTGTTTATCATTTTCATGTATGCTTTATTTGATTTAGTTTGTCGGGCAACCAACTACCCATTGCTGCCGTGGTATATTCTCCACATTTGTTTTGATTTTGTTGTCTCTTTAAAAAAGCTTTCAACATCGAATCAGCTTACCTAGATTAAAATAATTAAAATAATTTGGTGCAAAGATTAGAAATTCCGATGATAAAGTGGTACATGTAGAGTTTTAGAAAACAAAGTGAGATTAATTGTAATTCCAAGCATCATAGTGAGAAACAAGCCTTAAAAAAACAAGCATAAAAGCATTATTTCATTCACTTTTAGACGGACTTCTGAACGGTAAAACAATGAAAGAAAAATGGTAATCGAACCACAACCACACGATGTGGTCAAAAGCTGTGCGCTCTAGTCTCTACTAGCTGAGCTAAGACGACATTTGTGGTTGAATACATTTTGAATACACCAAACTACATAAATAATTTAAAGTGAGAAAGGAAACAAAACTTGTTAAGCTTGTCCCGTCGGCAATAACATAATGGACCACATTATTATGAGAACGTACTATTTGAGATGCAAAGTATGTAACCCTAGAAAAATGCTTTAGATTATGGTAATACATTATGAGAGAACACCGTATTTAAAGAGATATTTTGCATCAATACAAAGATCAAGTGATTCGTACATTTACATATTCTCACACAATTAACCAGACACCATTACAATACATTGATAAAAACGAGTAATGGACACAAGAATTTCTCCTAATCTCGATCTTTTAATTATTATGTATATTGTACAAATTGCAATAGAAAAAAGCAATATCCAATTTAGCTTATTCAACGTTAAAAATAGTTAAAGAATAGTTAATACTTTGGCCGACAAACCATATTTTGACGCTTCAATTTCAGGTCTTCAAGAATCAAGACCTCGGTTTTCCTCTCCCACCACCATACGCTTGCTTGCAAATGGCGTTAGGTTTCTGCGGAGGTATGCACAGATTCGAAGACGCTGGGCACGCCTGCAGACAATTATCCCCCAAGCTTCCGGACACTCCATTACCTCCGGTCACCAGTCCCGCCGGCGGCTGCCCAATCAAAAAGTTCCCGTCCAAGTACAACCTCTTTAACGACTTTTTCCGCCCGTACTCCACTGGGATCCTGCCACGTAGCCGGTTGTACCGAAGTGACAGCGACGACAGCATAGGATAGCTCCCGAAATTTACCGGCACGTAACCTTCGATTCTGTTAGAACCCAAATCAAGGGCCACGAGATCGCCACCGCCATTGGGCGGGATCTCGACACCTGTCAGGCTGTTATTGGCCAAATCTACTTGCTGGAGCGACGGGAGGAGAAAGAACCACGACTGTAGAGCCCCGGAAAACGAGTTCTCGCTGAGTTCTATCACTTCCAACTGAGTCAAGCCGGCGAAGGCCGATTCCGGAATCGACCCGGATAACAAATTGTGCTTCAGAGCGAGTTCAAGGAGGTTCGGGGGCAGTTTGGGGATTGTGCCGGCGAGCTTGTTGAAGCTCAGATCGAGCCGTCGTAAATTGGGTAGCGAGTTCAATGTGTTTGGGAGAAACCCAGATAGTAAATTGTGGGAAATGTCTAAGGATTCGAGGGATTTAAGGTTGGAAATGGCGGGAGGGAGCGAGCCGGAGAACGAGTTGGATTGGAGAGTTAAGGTTTGGAGGTTGGAGAGAGAGGAAATGGAGGTTGGGATGGCGCCGGAGAAGTAGTTGTCGGCGAGGTCGAGAGTGGTGAGGTTGGTGAGCTGAGAAATTAGCGGGGTGAGCGTCCCGGAGTAGGCGGCGGGGTCAAGGGTGATTTGGGTGACCCGGGTCGAGTCGGGTGAGCAGGTGACGCCGCACGTGAAGTGGGTTCGGCGGGGGATGGCGCAAGGGTCGGTGGTGAAGTCCCAGGAGGCGAGGCAAGACCACGGCGGAATGGAGGAGGGTTTGACGGCGGATTTGAATGCCTTGAGGGCGGAGATGTCTGAGGGGGAAGTGAGGGCTTGGATTGGAGAAATGTGATTGGTGGAGATTAGAAGGGAAATGTGAAGGAGGAGGAGGAGGCGGTGGTGGAGGTTGAGGTTAGGCAGAGGCATAGCTACTTGGTGGTTTGTGTTTGAAGGAGTGAATGAGTGACTTTTGAGCATTTTTATGGATGGAGAATTACGAACGATGTAATGTGAATGCGTAGTGGGGTACTGGCTAGTTAGTGGTGAGTGAGTTTAGCTATCCAGTTGGAGAGCACTAAGACATTGGAAGACTTTTAGTTTGTCAATCATCTGAGTTGCTAATTTACATGTTAATAATTAACATATGTACTGTTAGGGGTGGTTCGGTATGGATACCATACCGAAACTAGTATCCCGAATTCCAAACCAAAATTTTTTGGGACGGGAATTTGAAGACCAATCCCAAACCAAATTTTCGGGAATCCCAAATTTCGGGAATCCTGAAATATTTTTGGGATTTTGGGACAAATCGGGAATCCCAAATTGAAATATGAAATTATGAATTGTTCTTCAAATATATAATTCAAGAACACATTCATGAACTAGGAATTTCATTTCATTCACACTACCATTTAATTGAACACTGGCATGTCTGACTGTTTTTATCATAGTCAAAATTCAAATTAATTAAACCATTTTTGCAATCTGTTGAGAGACAAAAGAATCAAGTCTTCTGAAATCATCAGCCATGGCAGCAGCAATAATAAAATCCACATGAATATCAAACAGAACATGAAAAATATGCAAGGTGTAGGGCATTCCAGGTTGCCGAGCATGAATTAGAAACTACTAGCATCAATTATAAAAGAATAATATATATATATATGTATGTATAAATATATATATAATAATTAACATTATATATTTTCGGTTCGGTATGGGATTCCCGAGATATTGAGAAGCCAATTCCGAATCCCATACCGAAATTTTGGGATCGATTCGGGATAGCATCCCGAAAATTTCGGGAATTTCAGTTTGGGAAATTTTTGGTTTGGGATTGGGATTTTTTCGGTTCGGTTCGGGATTTTTGGGAATTTTTTCCACCCCTATGTATTGTCATTTAATAATGGTTTAATAATACTCATATTCACGGTAAGTAAGAAGTTATAAGTTCGCATATTAAAAATAACGAGTTTCATACCAATTTATTATTCGACTCTCTCGAAATAAATATAAATCATTGTATCCAACAAAATAAAATCATTAAACGACCTAATTCACTTGTTATAATATCAACGAATGACATGATTCATATATTATGTAATTAAAATATTAGATTAAAATGTTAGACTACTAGCAAACAAATTTACATGTTTAAACATAAATAAACTAGTTTCTGACAAAAAACAAACAAGTAATACCAAATGCCAATGCGAAGTAAGACAGAAAATGTTATAAAGATTTGAGTTAAGATATTTAGTGATTTGTTTATGATTTATGGAGGTGAATTTTCTGACCTGCATCACAGTTCACACACGTCCAGTAGTTGTTGACATGTTGCAATTTTTAATTTCCTTATTAGAACTTTGTTCGGCTCAAAAGCCGCAAGGTAAAAATCTGTTTTTGTTTGAGATTCTGAGCATTGAGAAATCTGCTTGCTGCCTGCTGGCATGCTTGTTTTCTAATTGCAGCGTGAAAAGGGGAGGGGTTCTTAATTCAGTAATTTGGAAGTTGCATGGTTCTTCGTGGGGGATAAAAACACAAAAACTCACAAATGTGCATGACGAATGATGTCCATGCAAAAGAAATGACAACAAAATATACTTACTAAAAATGCTTGACGATTGCCACTTAGTATTACGGTTTAGTGATATTCAGTGACGAAGTCATGAATTGGCGGGAAAAATGGCGAAATGTAAAAGCGTAAAGAGTGATCACTTAAATAGATAATTGAATTTCAATGAGACATCCTTAAACTGGTTATTTTCTTGAAGTTGTTTAACTGAATTCATAGAATTAGATTTAACTATGTTCCACTAATTTAGTGGTTTCGTTTTACCAACAAGAGACCCAAAAAACCAAGTGGATGATGACACACTACAAGATGCACAAGGAAATTGAAGAAGATTTCCCTAAATCCTTAGTCTCAAGTTCTATTTTCTCCTCAGATTTTAAAGTAAAAAATTGTCTCTGAACTTCAAGATTATACGAAGTAACTCTCCGACAATAAAAAAAAAGGGACAATCATTGCACTTGTAAACCCTAAAAACTTGAGTTATTTCTTCAAACCATCTCAAATTACTGAACAAAGACAGTAGTAATCTTGTGAAACCAAACCTGTCTTTTGCTCATCTTCTGAACATTATCCTCCTGCCACTCACGGTACATCGAGAAGAGTTCCAATAGCACTTTCAGATCCACAATACCTACATTGTCAAAACTAATAAAATACAAGCAACAGTCTTGCAAGAGAAAAAAAAAAAAAAAAAACAAAAACAAAAACACATGTACAAAACAACCATTATACTAATCGCTGCGGAATTCCAAATTCAGCTAATCCAATTCCTATGTAAGGACTTCATATTGGTGTTTTATGTTTTTCAATCTCTTCTTCAACATTAACATTTGTCCCCATCCAAAAAAAGTCCTTATGTTATTATTCATTCAGTAAACAAAATACAACCTTTCCTATTCATATTCAATTATCAATTAAATAAAATTAGAGTTTTGAGAAACAGAAGTCCAACACGCCTAAAACAACCCAGAATTTAGTTTTTCTTTACACGCAGATTAGAAAAACAGAAATCTTCAAACCACCGAAAAAGTTAAAGAATTACATGTTTGAGTAAAGAGACGGAACAAACATGTTTGTGGGATGTCTGGCCAAACAAGTCGATCAGAGCAGACACGGCTAGCTGATGGCGGCTGGCTTGAAGGCTGGGAGCACTCTGGTTTCCAAAAGGGAAGGGGACTGAACATGGTGTGAGGCAGCCGTAACGGGGATTTTTTTTTTTTTTTTTTTTTTTTTTAAGGACCAGCGTCGTTTTAATTAAGGAACATTTTAATTTTTTTAATCACTAAGTTACATAGTGTCTTACTCAAGGGTTTTTCAAAAAAAAAAAAAAAAGAAGGGATCATTGCTGCGCAGTGCAGCAGGAGCAACCCAGAAAACTAGAGAGAAGCCATCACTTCCAAAGGAACCAGAGGGTCAGAATCACCATTCTTAGGCTTGATTTCCGATTAGGAGAGGGGCGGCTGCCCCTCCTTGCTTCTCTGTAGCTTTGCAATTGGTGATATTTCTCTTTATTTGTAAATGAGAGGTTATAAGTTCGGTTCTTACCAAAATGAAGTGTCATACACAAAGTTAAATCTTATGTGGCTATAAATTTAAGACCTAATTATGTTCTTCGAGAGCTTTGAACTGGTACGGGCGTGCCAATACATGCGGTGAGGGTGTGCTCTGCAGTGAACTTATGATAAGCGACTAGGACTGAAGAAGGAACATTGTGGCCTTAAATTCTACGACCTGAAGCCATGCAAAATCATTGTGAATGTCTACTAGATCATGAGCATCGGATTCATTATCGGATATGATATGGGCAAATTAAAGAAGTAAGTTCGCCTACTCAAACACTAGCTTATTGGACAAAGATACTTGAAGGTTATTCTGGTTTTAAAAATGAAGGAAGTATGGCCGTTCTTCAGAACGTGAATTGGGAATAACAAATTTTAAAGGACACCTTACTTGCCGAGATACTAGCAAGGTGATCTCTTCGACGAAACACGACAAATGGGATTCCTACATTGAGACTGTTTTGATCAATCAGCAATAACGAACTTCCTCAATGCTGAAACAAGTTATGTTGATTGTGGAGCGATTCCAGTTTATAAAAACACAACTTTTTCAATGTTGAAACTAAAGGAATGTTTCACCATAAAACCAATTGATAATATAAGGAGTAGCGTAACTTACTTATATGCTCATGCAAGGTTTTTTCTCCCGTCAATGTGAGATTCATTTTTAACAAGCCCCTTCGTGTGTGATGAATTTTCAAGCCTAACACGTGAACAACACAAATGGGGTGACGTGGAGCACGTGTGGCTATGGGGTTTCATACATGGGGCAACTTGCTTTGATACTATGAAGGAAGTTGACGTTCTACTATAGAACCAATTGGAAATGTGGAGAGTAGTTGATTCAATGGATAACATAAAAACCATGAAGCAAACTCTAGAACACAATAATTTCTTAATTCTTGTTGATTCTTACGTATGAGAATAACCAAGAACAAAGGAAATCTATGTTTGAAATATGCCCTAAAGTCAATCATAAGATGATATTTTATGAACATTTCACATGTTAAACTAATTTAGGTTATTGTAAGGGCAAAGATTATGGTTTACTTTCGAGTTATTGGTGTGAATGACAGCAAGTCAAAATTGTAGGTGTTCAATAGAGAGTGAGTCCACCGATACTCATGTCATATGAGAACTCACTAGTTGAGATAATACAAAGTAGTCTTTTGACATGAGGCATCATAGTTGTCTTGTGGTCAGGTCCTTAATCATTGACTATGTTAAAGGCATTCCATTATATGGTGTCCACAACATAGTTGGAGTTAAGCTACTTAACCATTAGGCACATGAATGCACTGTTGAAAATGTGTCCTAAAGCCAATCATGAGATGATGCTTTACGAAATTTCACATATTAAACTAATCTACTTTATACAAAGGCAAAGATTATTGTCTAAAGTCATCTCATTAAATGTCATACGCTTAAACTATAAGTCCAAGAAATATGTGATTAAAAAAATGTGATCTAAAAAGTTAGATTCATGAGACATTTCTCTTTCATTTACATATCCTAAATGTTCTTGATCATAGAATTACCAAATGGGCGTTGACGAATTGGATAGATCAATGTATACTATGTGTTTTCCCTAGAGAGTGACTGGTCTCGTTCATTGGTGTTAATGACACCAAGACAAGTATGTAGGTGCTCATTAGAGAGAGCCTGCTGAATGGATCAACCAGGAGTTCTCATACTCTTGTCAAATGAAAACTCACTAGTTAGAATAATGCAAAGTTGTCATTTTCCATGAGGCATCATAGTTGTCTTGTGGTTAGGTCCTTAATCTTTGACTATGTCAAAGGCAATTTATTAGAGGGTGTCCACGACATAGTTAAGGTTAGGCTACTTCATCATGGGGTCACGTGAATGTACAACAAGAGATCTTTAACCTTTAAA